AAGAAATTTAGTTCTTTCTGCTATGACCAATCTTTTTTGGTCATTCATTTGCTTTTATGATGGCAGCAATTTCTTCATATGCTAAGTCTTTTAACACTTTGGGATAGACCATGACAAATTATTTTTAATGGTATCACACTGCTGAAGCTAAAAACAAATCTGTAGCTTTCTTTTTTCCACCACTAACTTTGGTGTCCTTTAACTTTTTTGCTCTTGTCAATGCTGCAAAACACCTAAGCCAGGTTTCCACATATTAAGGATTCTCCATCATGGTTAAGTAACTGATTAGTGATGCCATATAAGTATTCACTCTGACAGAGGTAGTCTTGTCAAGAGAAGGTAACTCTCCCATAGGTATAGCAATACTGCCTTTTATACAGTATATAATTTACATATCACTATACCCTGTATTAGCAGAAATTATGTTTCCACTAGATAACTATACTTTCCTGAATAGCACTTTAGATTGAACTCAAAACCTTATGATCTCAATCAATAAAGCAATTCTCATTATAAAGCAAAACAGAATATACAGATTATTACAAAAATAAAATTCCAAGTTGATTGTTTTGATTCAAAATAATCACTTGACTAAAAAAAAATGTATGTCTTTCATGATTAAGGATTTTTTTATTATTTTTTTTTATCCATGAAGGCTTAATTTTGTAAAAAAAAAAATTATTGGAATTGGATGTATTTCAGAGGCAAAACAAAAAAATCTTCATTTTAGGATTCATATCAACAGAATTAGTTGATCAATAGATAAATATTAAAACAGCTGTTATTATCTTCTTTTTATCACTCCTTGCAACAGTTTTTGCATATATTTTTGCATTTTTTGCAGAATTTAATACTTGATAAACATCTTTAATAAAATATTCAGTAACCATCATATTTACTTATTCCTTTATACCAAAGTATGATTCAGTATTATAGATAATGTGTAAAGACTCAGTTATATTCTATATTTTTGTTTTTTCATATTGTAACTTATTAATGCAAATTCCAAGTTGTCATTTATGTATTCCAGATTTAACAAGGGCAATTTTTATTTCAATTTTTACTTTTAACACAAGCTTTCACTGTTTTGTATTCAGTGACGTTCACATTCAACTTTACATTTTGAATAGTGAGCCAGTAGCAAGAAATATATGAAGTACTAGCAGACTTCACCTGCTTGATATTGCTTCACAAAGTAAGATATATTCACTATTTGAAATCTTTGAAACAAAAATTTTAAATGTACATTTGATTCATAAATTGGCTTGTTAGATGCTAACTTGTTAGAGGCCAAGTAAAATGTAAATTTCAAACACTTTTCTACACTATATAAGACGGTATTCCTAAACAAAACTATTTTTCATATGAAAATCAAAACAATGCTCCAATAAAAGAACAGTTATGAAGGACAATTAATTAATGAAATAAACATTTTTTTAAATTAGTATGCAAATTAGTTAAACCTGGAGTGATATTTCCTAGAAGTATACAGATATTGAACTCTTGAGGGGGTTTGTATCTCATTATTAATCATCTCACAGTTTTGTCTCTGTCTTTGGGCACAGTGTGCCTGGGGTCTACTCTGTCAAAGGACAGTTGCAACTGAGGAAAATTATACTAAGAGGTGCCCAACCCTGGAGAACAGCTGCCCGAAGCTGCACCCTCTCATGGCACCAGAGAGAGGGATCAGTGCTCGCACCAAGGCCAGCACAATCGATGGTTGTGTGGGCTGTGGGCAATTTTTGTTCCTTGCCTGGGTGTTTGCACCTTAAAAAAGACCTTGTGTCACATCTCATCTCAGTGTGTAGACAGAGTAAATACTGTGTGTAAATTGCTCTCTTTTGAGTGGCATACACACTGATAGTTACTGGTCACAGGGATCTGTCCCTGCGCTGGTAGTATCACAGCTATGACTAGCTTGTCCGGCTCTGACCAGCTTGGACAAACTATGACCAGCTAAGACCAGTGGTCTGAGTGAAGACACTCAGGTCCACATGTTAAAAACTGACCTTGTGTCACAACTCATCTTAGTGGGGTGACATAGTAAATATATAGTGTGTAAATTGCTCTCTCCAGTGGTTTGTAACACCCTATTTATCATCTCTCAGTGTCTTTGGGCAGAGTGCAACTGAGGAAAATTATACTGAGAGGTGCACAACCCTGGGGAACAGCTGCCCAAGGTTGTACCCTCTCATTGCACCAGAGAAAATGATTGGTGCTCACACTGAGGCCAGCGCAACCGACGGCTGCAGGGGGCTCGGGGAATTTTTGTTCGTAGGCTGGGTGTATTTGCTCAGTCTCCCTACATTAAACTGACCTCATGTCACAATGCTACTCCATGGGGAGTAAAGTAAATACCAAATTGCTACAAAGAGGCGGCTTTTAAGCTTGCTGCAATTTTGCATACAAAAGGAAAATAACAGTTACTCCCCTTGAATCATGAAAGCAATGATAATGACTATTATAATATATTAATATATATTTTTAACCTCACATAATCTGGCAACCCTGAATCTGAGCTCAACAAAAATCGTTCCATGCATCTAACTATGAATCATTGAAGTCAGACCAGTGGGAGTGTAGGAGTTGCTTGGACACACACATGCACAAACATACACATGCACACAGTACTTTATATATAACATAATAGTCTTGCATAATTGTACAAAAGGATTTTTAAAAGATTCAGTAGTGTATCATTTATGAATTACAAACCTTTATAAAATTCCTTTTTATTGTGGAGTTAGTGATACTTTTTCATTCATTTATATAGTATAGGTATACAAAAGATACATTTCCTAAACCTCAGACTAAACTAAATCCAGTATGCTGACCCTAAATCTATACTCAGTATTGGTCTAGCACATGAGTTTAAAAATTTTTTTTTTTATATTTGCATAGCATATTTATATTCAAGGTAAAATCTTTGTTACCCTATGTAATAAAATGATTTATTTTCAAAGATTTCTTCTCAAATAAAAATGTCTGTTTAAAAGTTTTGCTCAATGTTTTAATCCTTTTCTTTTCATCTAGGTAATTAAGATCTAAATTTGAATAAAATCTCTTGCAGTATAAGGATATCTTGACCTCATGACCCGTGCATACAAAAAAACTAATTTGTTGTTTATTTACTTCTCTATAGAAATTCCATTGATCTTCCATAGTTCACATAATTCTTACACAGCTTCCTGGTAAGGTTAGTTTAATGGCATTATTACCTATATATCTCAACCAGAACTTCATGGCCTTCATGGCAGTGTTCCTAAAACCATTTTCCTCAAAGCACTCCATATATTTAAGCATAATTACAAAGAAATTATACAGTAAAGCATGTTTTGTCAGTTTAACTGTTTTACATTTTTAATGTTGGACTCTTATTCAGTTTAGTTACCCTCAAGAAATAATGAATTATATTAATTTGACCGCAGTATCATTAAGTTTACTAAATAATTTTGAATTGTTTGCTGATGAGAAATTTTCAGACAACATGGATACAATATACTGCATCCATCTTCTCTCAAAACAATTTTTACGTTTGGACTATTGTTGGACACAGGAAACCAAAGCTGGTCAGGTGCAATTTATAGCTGATGGAGATTCCAAGTCAGAGATTGCTTTCTGTAAGCTAATATTGAACATTGTGCCAAAAACTTCCAAGTTTCTAAAGAACACTTATCAATAATCATAGACATAAAAGAAAATTATGGGATATGAAGGAATGAATACAATTTTTCCAACAGTTTGAAACCAAATAAACTGTTCTGAATGCTTACTGTTATATTCTCATAAAGTCTCAAATTTAAGTAATATTAAAGATTTTAGCACTAATTATTAAAATGTTTAATTTTGGAAATCTTAACAGTTCTAATAACTTCCTGTATATAATGTATAGTATTTCATAAAAAAATAAGCAGATTAGTTTTAAAGATTTGGCATTAGATTAGCATTTTAATGGAGGACAAAAATTGTACAGAACAATTTGTACCCTTTGAGTTAAGCATTGGATCCAATATTATTTCCAAATAGTTACAAACAATGGAAATAACTTTTTTTTTTATAATCAACATAAAATAAAATTTATTTTTTTAGATCTTTTTTTTTTAAGTCTAAGACAATTGTATTCTAATTGAATTTTATTCACCTTTAACACAGTGAAAATAAAAACAATGTTGATGGATAAGGTGTGTGACTAACAAAGGAATTACAAACAATAATAGACATGAGAAACATATCATCTATTTCTAGCAATATTAAAAATCAACTAAAGTGACTCCCCACCACCACTAAATAAAGGGAAAATTGGAATACTAACCTTTTGCAAAAATGTTAGCTTTTTCTATGCGTTTTTTTTTTTTTTTTTTTTTTTTAAGTAAACAAGGAATTATGAAATTTAGAATTAAAGATTAATTTTAATTCTAACAAATCTTTTTCAGCAATTTTAGTATGACACTTCTTGGTGGTTGGTCCTTGATCAATTCCTATGCTGGTCAATACCGTTGCTGGTCAATGAAGTGGCTGTCCCAGTCTGTACCCTGCCCTGCCCACATTATGCTTTTTGATCACGGTGCTAGCAAAGACTGAGTTGTCATCATCAATGTTCTTTGCAGACAAAATAAAAGAAGACCAGAAATTGTTTGAGTCAATTTTCTATGTGGTTCATATTATTCTTTGTACAGAAATATTAACTCTTCCCACTTTGAATTCTATCATGACACTTTGCTCATTTTAGCTAAGTCTGGAACAAAGCATAAGTTGGGAAGTCTCTTTGGCAGCAAATCACATGAGATTCGACAGCATAGTTGTCTCTCATTGTCTGCAACTCCAACTGTGACTGGTTTGGTTATTTCAGTATTCTGCTTATATTAACTTTTACTGGCATGAGGCTGATAGTATTTAGAGATCTAGGCCTTCCGATAAGAGTTCTTTGTTGTCTGGTTTTGGAAAAATAATTATCCTTTCAAATTTGGGAGACCCCTTTCTATGGGCAGTGGTCATAGGTAATGATCCACCCTGATAACTCTATTTTTATCTTATTTGTGCCTCATACCATTATTTGCCAATGGGCAGAGGCAATCCCTTCATCTCTCTCGGTATTTCACCTAATTCTTTCTCCTTGGTTGTCACCTTGACACATCTGATTTTCAAATTCTGTGGGTTAATGGGTTGGACTTATCTTTTGGTCATTAATCATATTTATTAATTTAATTTTCATCAGCACATTTTTCCCAGTTTGGGGTCTTGTCTTTATAATCAGAAATTAACCAGCTACTTCCCTTTTACTGTAATCTTCATATTTTAATTTCTTTTAGGTGAAGTATAAAATTCTTCCTCTTGGATTGTTTTTACAGTCTTCTGATTAATCAGTTTTTCTCCATTTGCCTTCATTTTAAAATTACCAAATTTTATCTCTCAATTGTTTTCATAACTGGCATTTTTAGTAGATGGGTCATTAATTAATTTTTTTCCTTTCTGCTTTGTTTCCCAAATTCTCAAGTGTATTTTCTCTATTTCTCCCTCCAACCCCTGTGGATTTACATTTTTCAGATGGCTGTCTTTTTTTCAGCACAGTTAATCCAGTCTTTGCTCCTCATTGCCTGGGTTTTAAGTTCACATTTTAACCTAACCCTTTTTTGTTATGTTCCAAGCTTATATTCCAACTTAGACTTTTTTTTATTTACCGGTGCCACCCTGTTACTTTCTCCCTTATCCTTCCTGTCATTTACTTGTATATGACATTCAAGTCCCCCTTTCCTGCCAAAAATTAACAAAAACTTGTCATGCATTGCTTCTTTTCTTCTATTATGATTAATAGAAGTAGAATTTTAAAAGTCTTTCTTTTCCAATGATGAACATGCATATTCCAATCATGGGTTTTGCACCACCCCTATAATTTATTCAACTTTATCCTGGGGCTCTCCGCTTCCCTTACTCTCTCATTTCAATTGACACCCATTTTTGTTTTATGATTTATCCTTTTTCATCAATTTTCCTCTTTCTACAATAAGAGGCCTTAGTTTTTCCTTTACTGGTATCGATTTTGCTTTCAGTTCTTCCACTAAATTCAATTTGGTCTCTTCACCTGGGTTCAATCTGCTTGGGTAAAGAACACTACATGGCATTCCCTTCTCGAGTTGTTGCATACTCGCCAAAACCTTATTAATTGATTTCTTCCTATGCTTTTTCAGCTTCCATATTGCTGTTACTATGGCAGTCATTACTATCAGGGTACCTACTAATGATGACCAGTTTATTATGGTCTCTTTATTATCTTTTCAAACGGTACTTTCTTCCTCCAGGACTCTTTATATGTCTTTCAATTGATCAAGATTTTACCTATTGGCTTCAATAACTTCAGGGAATTTCTCTACCACTGGTTCCCATAATTCTATCCAATTACTTTTACTCATTTCAATTAACTTTATAATTGAATTTTTGTCTTCATATTTTTCTTCAGCCTGATAATATGGGGTAAAGAGTAATGGTTGTTCCAAATGCTGAACATCCCAGGGGTAACTCTATTAAGGACAATGGGGGTTCTAACTTCAATGCTTTAGTGGATTATCTCCCACACATACTGGACAGATCAATGTGCCTTTCTGGCAGCAACTGCCCAGACTCCATCAGATATACTGATGACTAGTGGCAACACTGTGTTTATCAATATTTCTACTTGACAATTTTCCTTAATCCCCACTTTGTCACCCTTAAACAATTCAAGGGCACACAATCTGATTCCCTGTCACATAAATGGGACTTAATGTGGTACATGTCCCCAAAGTGTCAACTTTACACCTCTCTGCTTCTTCTGTCATCAACAATATAAATTTTGTTCTAGCTGAATTCAAAGCTATATATTCTGTCTCGATTCAATATCTTGCTACTACCCTTAAGTCCTGTTCTACTTGTGGATAGGTAAGTTTATCACTTGATATATTTCAAAAATACTTTCTCTGTCCAATAATGGAATGGATATCAAAATCAATATTTTCTTATCTTCTAATAAGGTAACACAGCCTAGTGCATTGTAGTATTTCCATAATTCTTTGGTGGGTTCCACCAGTAACCTCAAATGATAGGGTTGTCATATGCCCCAGTCAACCAATGTGTTTATAGGGCGATCATACGCCGACTAGGAGATATATACCCTCTCACACCCGTGGAGAGATACAAGCTATCTCTCTCAGATCGTGAGAGTGGACAATTGGTAAATAAAAATATTTTTAAGACCACTGTTCGATTGGGATAATCGAACAGTAATCTTTCCCAAGTCCGCTTCGTTTTCAACATGAATACTGATCCACAATACAAGGATGAACTATAAGGCTTAGCGATTTTTGATACAATACTTTTAATATATACAAATATACATATATCAAAAATAAAAGAACAGATAAGTATGTTAAAACATCCGACGACCAGATCTCAAACTTATTTTGGGATATCAAATTCGCCTAACACCAAATGGATTCAACTGAACCCGAACATACAAAATATAAGTATGAATTACTATGAATTGAATGCAGAAGCCAACGCACACACAAAAGAGATGGGATAGGAGTTATAACTATTGTTTTACATGTGGAAAGGTGTTTGAAAAAACATAATATTCATGGATGTATGTATATCTTTCTACTATGGGTCCAAAATATGATTACTTATCTTTTATATTCAGTTCTCTTTTTTTTTTTTTTTTATCAATGTCCTTTCTTTTCTTTTCTCAACACAATTTCACACACTGTCCGTCTGTAACAGAGGTATACACTTTCTTCCTCTCTTTGTTTCGCCTTTTTCCTTCCTCCCTTTTCTTCTGTTGACAGCTCGGCTTCCAACCCGACTTACTGCAACAGGGATGTATACTTTCTTCCTCTCTTTGGTTTTCTTCTTTCTTTCCTTCTTCTTCTTTACACAATTCAGCTTATAACAGAGGTATACACTTTCTTCTCTGTTTTCCCTTTTCTTTCTTTACACAATTCAACTTGTAACAGAGGTATACTTTATTCCTCTCTCTGGATATCTGTTTTCTTTTCTTTATACAATTCAACTTGGGGTTTATTGAACAGGAATACTTCTTGTCTGGAGTTGCTTGGATTGAACTGGATAAGTTTCATTACTATCAAATGCGTCTTATCTTTCCATTCATAAACTATCAGCGCTTCGGCTACAGGTCTTGCCTCTTCAAAATCAAGATAGCAACTGATCCTCGAGTGAATCTCTGACTGTCACGTGTCTTAAGTTTTGGGCGCGAATTCTAACTTACAACCGTCCTCTGTCTAGCTTCTGTCTAGACATTTGTCGCTACGGTTAATTGGGTCAGTCAACCTTCTGACCTGCCTTCCCAAAATGTCATAAGACTCTCATGTGACCTTTATTCTGTTGCTAGGCGGAAATTAACCCTATCATATGCGTATTTAGGCTATCCGCTTTCATCACACATCACAGGGTAAATCAGCTTGTATCTTCAATAATAATTTCTTCAAGTGACCAGAGGTCACTATGCTCGGGGACAAATGTCTCAATGATGACATATCCAAATGAGTTCTAACAAAATCATCATAGATTGACTAGTCTTTTGCACCTTTTTAGCAATTGTCATTAATTGGAAATACTGCTATACAAAGCCACACTTAATTCTTGTAATTCAGTTGTCACAGCCTCAGAGATATTAGCTACTTCCTATCTCAATTCTCACAAGGTATTTATTAGCTAATTGATACTTGCCCTATTTGTTGCAAGTTCTAATTTTATCACATTCATTATCGTTACAATTTCTCTTGCCACTTGGTCTAAAGCTCCCTGATCCCTTTCCACTTTTTCTAGCTTCCTTCTTATAATTTTAACATCTTCTTCAGTAACTGTTCCAAACAGGACACTCAGCACCTTTCCAGCAATAGGGACTTCTGCTCTCTTTTCTCTTGTTTACAACAGCTCAATTCCTTTTAAGTAATTTCTCATATCCTTCCACTGAACTTCCATTATAACCGTCTCCAATTCTAAAGAGTACAACTATCTAAGGTACAGCCCTTCTCTGGTATATATTTGTGCTACCTTCACTCAAGCTACACCCAGCTTAGTTAGCTCACCTTCCAATTTGTTTAATAGTGATTTGTATGGGTTCAGATCTATCACAGAAGTGATTAACCATTTTGATCTTGTCATCAACATGTAACTTGACTTCTTGAAAATTGTATTCTGGCTGTGCCTCCAGGCTCCTACCATCTTCATTATCAGTAGTATCAACCATTCCTGCCAGCCTTCCTGTAAGTGCAACAAGATTTCCTAGCTTTATTTTGCTGACCATTCAGCACTTGCACACTTTCATATTTATTTAGGGCATTCCCACTATTTCCTTCTCTTTGTTTTCTAAATTTTTTCCAGTTTCAACCTTTCCCTATGTTAATCAATTTTCCACAGCTCTGACTGGTTTCAGACAGATGTGTGGGACTTTCGCCCAAAGGTTGTCTCACTGATACCACCACCAGACATACACAGACCCTTGTGCAGCTCAATGACAGCACCAATAATTAAGTTTGTCCACCCTTCACGATGTGCTATCCACAACCCCGTCCTCCCCAACCAACTTCTACTGTTAATTACTGGATGGGCTTTTCTAACGAACACGACATCATTGCACACTGACTTCAAATCCATCCATCCCATTGTTCTCACCTGTATTTCTCTTTATTGGGATTCAGGGCCTTCCACTGCTCTCAGTTTTTGCTTAAGGGGTAGCTCTGGCTCAACCACTCGCCTATTCTCTTCCCTTAATCATTTTTAGAGTTGGAAGAAAAATATTTCATCCTCCTCTTCCCAATTGTTTAGCTCCTCATTCTCTTTGGGAGGTTTTGAATCAGAACCATAGACTTCATCACATGGGTCCTTTGCTTTCTGCTCATTCATTAAGTTTTCTCACTTTTTTTATAAACCTTTCTACTGGCTGTTGATATTCTTCTTACTATTTCCTCCTCAGAGTCTTCATCTGTTTCCATTTCCTCTGGCTCCACAAGGATTGCTCTTCTCATCCTTTCTTCATTGCTCCTTTGTTCAGTTCTTCCCCAACTATCTACCTTAGCCAATTTGAGGTCATTAATTCGTCTTGCCATTTGATCCCAGATTATAAATGATATTGGTCCTGTCTGTTTCACTATTCTGTAATAGGGTTCTCACCTCTGGTTCAATTTTCTTTCCCACATGTGAATTTTCGGACACTGTTTGAGCTCTCTTATCAGCACTACATATGCCTTGTGCCAATTCATCAGCCAATCCACAAAACTTACTATATACAAATTCCCTCTTGGAGTCTCCCCATATGGTCTTGTTATATCCATATTCACTTTCTACTAGTCGAGCCGTCTCCTACCTTCTACACTGGGCCTGACACACCACACAACTCTGTACATAGTTGGTGACCTTGTTATATAGCCCAGGCAAATAATGTTCTCCCTATTAGATCACAGGTTTTACCGATCACCATGTGACCCAGTTTCTCATGACATTGCTTCAATACTTTGGCTCTCAGCCTTATACATACATATAATCTGAGTCTTACCTGTTCATCCTTTTCTGAGAGGTAATATAACATTTCATCATGTACTGCATACTTAGAGGTGTCACCTGCCTATTTTTGCTCTGAGGGTAGCTATCTCACTGTTCTCCTGACTTCCCTTTATTGCTTCTTTCCTGTGAGGATCAGCCACAATTGGTGTGGTCTCCTCTGTATCCATCTCCAGTACAGGACAATCTTTTAATCTATTGAAGTTGATTACCTTATCTGGTAAGCCATATCATCCACTCCTGGATCTACCCTTACAGATTCTGCCTCTAGCTGTTTTAGGATTCTTGACAGCAAATCTGCACATGTATTATCCCTATTGGCCAGAGTTGTACCCACTCAACTTCAGTGCCCACTGTTGGATCTTTTTGTTAGTCCATTCAGCTTCCAGCAAGTATTGGAGTGGCTTGTGGTCAGTCTTGATGGTAAATACTGCCCCACTCAGATAGTAATCTAATTTTTGCAAGGCCATATATAATGGCATATGCCTCCTTCTCTATCGGAGAGCCTATGGGTAGAAAGTACACCGGTACTTCCTCTATACTTACCTCCACTATACCTGGCACTAGGCCATCCCTGTCTGGGCATGGCTGGGTAAGGACTGTTCCAATACACTGATCACTAGCATTTGTGTTTCAGCTTGCTATGGTCTGGATATGTTAAAGTTATCACTATCAGCTGCTCCTTCAGGCTGTCAAATGTTCTCTGACAGTCCTCTGTCCACTTAAACCTAACATACATTTTGGTTAATGCTACCATAGGAGTTCCTAGCCTAGAAAATGCCAGGATGAACCTTTAGTAATAGCCTATGGCTCTTATGAACCTTCTTACAGCCTCACTGTTTTTGACTCAGGCATTTCTCTTAATATCTCTACCTTGTCCAGGTTGTGCTCAATCCTGTCCCAGATACTTTGTTTCCTTTTTCAGGAACTGACTCTTTGGTAATTTTAACTTCAATCCATGCCTCCCTAAGCATCTTAACTTCTGTCTTAAATGGTCAAAATGCCACTCAAGTATTTCTGTGAATACCAAAATGTTGTCTGGATAGGCCATAGTGAAACTCTCCATTTTGCTCAGTACCATGGACATCAGCTACTGAAAAATACCTGGGGCATTGGCCTGAAACAGGCCATGTGGCATGCAAATGCCACTTTCTTCTTCAGCCTCATCAAGAGCTACTTGCCAACAACTTCATCTCAGATCTATGGTAGATAAGCACTTAGCCCTTCCCAAAAAGGCCAAAATATCTTCTATCTAGGGGCACCTCTTAATCATTCCTGATTCTAGCATATCTTTGACCACCTCTTCCACCAGGGGTCCCTTATGGATTGGTGTTTTATAAGGTCTTAGCTTGATCAGCAGTATCAATCTTCATTTTTACTGTATGGGTATCATATAGGACATAAATGAAAAGAATCATCAGTTTATATAAATAAGCGGAGTTGAGGAAAGTTAGCATTAGGTCAATTGCTATTTGTACCTTTGTGTAGCAAACATTGTATTTCATTACTTACCTATGAGTTTGTCTTCCTTATTTATTTTCCTCTGTTACCTCAAAAACACAAGATACAACAATGTGTCTACTTTAATTCCTTGTCAGAGTTAGCCACCATATCATGGTTGGCTCTCAGCAGATGCCCTATTCTGGTATTAAATCTCTCAGGGGCTACTATTTCTTTTTCCTTTACTTCCCCTACTTGATCCTGTTCCCTATTCCTCTGTTTATCGTACTTCACCCATCTTATGGACCTTATTGGTAGGGCTCTTCCACTTTTGCTATTTTTATTGTCTTGTTGGCCTGGTTAGACAACATAATGGGTATTATTTCTGCTCTTTCTACCACCATTTCACACAAAGCCACTTCTTCAGGGTTATATTTTTTTTACAGGGCTTATTTGCAAAATCCCATTCCCCAATTTACCTACACCTGTCCTAGGAGGTAGCTTTATATCAGGATCAACCACTACTGACACTGGTTCATTAGGGGTGGTTCCCAATGGTATTTCTGCATCATTAACTGCCAACACAACTTATTTGAGCTCTATGCTAATGCAGCCAATCTTCTCCCAAAATCATCTCTACATAGAGATGCAGGGTTATGTACAGCTTTTATTTTATTATTTTTATCCGGAACCTCATCATTCCCTTTATTGTCATTGGCTTCCTGTCCACCTGACTAATCTTGACATCAGGGCTCTTCAGCCATCCCAGTAACCTCAGTTGACTTTCTACCTTTATTTTGTGGTGCTTTCAGATAACCCTTCCGAGGTTTACTAGCGCTATTTCTAAAGGGGCAATTTCTCCTCAGGTGTCATGGTTCCCCACAGAACCAGCATCTTCTTCTGGAGCATTTGGCAGCAAAATGGCTGACCTGGTCACATGCCAAACACAACATCCCTCTACTTTTCACAGGGTCCCCTTCCTGTTTTACACTCTTTTCAATGTGGGAAGTTTCTTTACTCTACCTTGCCTGCCTAAAACCTGATTCTGTGTCTGCATTCCAAATGAGCAAATGTCACGATAGAATTCAAAGTGGGGAGGGTTAATATTTCTGTACAAAGAACAATATAAACCATATAGAAAATTGACCTGA